GAGGGGGGCGGGAAGATAAGTGTAGGGGGCAGGCTTGCAGGGTATACTCTTTGGTTGGTTGATGATGCATGGAGGGGATTGTAACCATGGCAATGATATGATGTACGATAGAATGAATGTAAAACTAATGTTCTCCCATGTAAACTATCATATAATTCACAATAAAACACACACACAAAAAAGAACATATGAATTTCATATTTGCTGATTTTTATTTTTTTAACTGTGGCTATTTGGTCAGAGTAATGGCTAGTTTAGTGATAAGAAATGGTTAAGTTGGAAATGAAAGCTGGAATGTGTAGTAACCAATATCCTCAATCTTATGTTCTTGTGAGGTTTATATTGTTGCTTCATATGTCATAAAATAACAGGTAAATTAGATCAGCAATTTTTGGAGGTAGTACTTACTTTGATATTCTTTTTCTCCTTGTATAGTATTCTTGTTTTAGCTTTCGGAAACTCTGGGCCTTCACAGGACCAGGCTTTCTTATGAGCATTGCCTACTTGGATCCAGGAAACATTGAATCTGACTTGCAGTCTGGAGCAGTGGCTGGGTTTAAGGTGACTATCTAGTTCTGCCCCTGCCCCTCTGACACATATCCATGGTCCCCACATTCTTTCCTCTCCTGCCTGTTGGGTAGCAGTCTGGGGCTACATGCAGAAACTTGATTGACAGTACACTAACTTGAAAAATACTGTCTCATATGGTCTCTTATCTTATCACACAGTTTACCTTTAAACCAAGGAAAGATTTACTATGTCTGCAGATGGGGAGAACCTGAGACTGAGAAAAGCTCAAGGTGGTCTAATAGGTCATGTGCAGAACTTGATTAAAAAAAAAAACTCAGGCCATTTGATTCCTGACCTGGACTCTTTCCTGAATGTGGTACATCCTGATCATGTTGGCAAACAAACAAACCCTTTTGTCTAATGAGTATCATGGGGGAATTTTGTTTTTCTCTAGTTGCTCTGGGTCCTTCTGTTGGCAACCATTGTGGGTCTCCTGCTCCAGCGCCTTGCAGCTAGACTGGGAGTGGTCACTGGGCTGCATCTTGCTGAAGTATGTCACAAACAATATCCCAAGGTGAGCAGTCCTGTTTGTTCATCCCTCATTTCACAGGAAACTGTATGTTTGGCAGTGTGTGCTGGATTCACTGTATACTGAGTCAGTGGAGGACTTGGGATTTAGTGGCCCCAAGGACTGGGGTCCCAAGGGAAATGCTATAATCACTCTTGTTGCCAAACCAGGTTTCTCCCCTCTTTCAAAGTTCAGCATAAGGCTGTCATTTCCCCAGAAAGTTTCTTAGAAAAATTCTGTTAGAGAAATCATTGGCCATTCAGTCTACCTTCTAGCATCTATCAGTGTCCAGCTTATGGCAGTTGCTTACTCTAAACACTTTAATTTGTGCATCTTTGTAACACCAGTCTGCATTTTATGTATTCTTTTTCTTTTTTGCTTGATTTTTTTAACCCATCATTTTGAAAAAGAACAGTTTTTCTTTTTTACTACAAACAGTATGTGGCAGGTTCTCTGATTTTGCTAATAACTATTTTTCAATTTACTCTAACCTTGGGGTTGTACTGTTCTGTCCTGATAGCTCTTTAGCTCCCTTCTATGCATCTTAGATAAGAAAATGATCAAAAGTCTTAACTGCCTTTTAGACATTTTCTTACTATCACCTAAAGCAGGAATGGGGAACATCCAGCTCGCGGGCCATATTAGGCCCTCGAAATCATTTTGTCTGGCCCTGCCAAGGCAACTGCAGTTCCAGCTATCACATTGTAGCAGGACAATTTTTAAGTTGTTTATATTGTTTGGCCTGTGAATGATGTTATAAATATCTAAATATCCCTTGGCAGAAAAAAGGTTCCCCACTCCTCACCTAAAGCAGGACTGAATCATATGTTTGGAAGACATTTTTAATCTTTATTAGGTACCACTGTGCCTCCAGTTTGTCCTCATGTTTAATACACTTTTTTGTCTGTGAGCAGAAAGTTTGCTTGTGTACTTTCGAAAATGTTTACCATCTTAATAGTTTATCATTTCTTTTAGCTTTTTTTTTTTCCTTGTATTTGTTTTAGGACACATTTTAATACTTTTGGACCTAAAGTCAGCCAGTATTAAATGGCTTTTAGGCAATTATTTGGTCAAGTTAATTTCTTACATTGTAGCCCATTACCCAGTTTTGATCACTTCATTCCCTGGCTCATTGCATATCTTTTTTCATTGCTTGTGTATTATTACTTTTTTCATTACCTGTGTATTATTACACTTGAGAGCATCCACCCAGATTTTTCATGTTTCTTGTCCCCTCAGCAAGAGTCAGAATAGATCTTGTCTTGTGTAATCATTTTGTGTTTTCCTTTGAACACTGTTTTGACTGTATGAGGGGCTTTACAAGTGTCATGGAGAAAATTCATTGTCTTTTCATTCCATATTTCCATGAACTTTTTCAAGTCCCCTTGTATTAGCATATTTATTCTCTATAAGATCTTTTGTAATTGTTTTCAAGCAGGAAACTAAGTCCCTGGCTTTATAAAAAAAAAAAAACCTAAACCAAATCCATTGCTTTCAAGCTGATTATGACTCATAGCAACCCTACAGAGCAGAATAGAACTGCCCCATAGGGCTTCCCAGGCCAATTTTTCAGAAGCAGATTGCTTTGTCCTTCTCCCATAGAACAGCTGGTGGATTCAAACCACTGATCTTTTAGTTAGCAGCCAAACCCTTACCTGCTGTTCCAGCAAGGCTCCTAAATGATTTATCTAGGAGCACTGAGATGAAAAGGAAAGAGAAAAAGTTAGAATCAGCTGCCACCCTAACTTTCTCACAGGCTTCCCAGCTGGACAGTCACTTTCTCTTTCCAGTTGGGGCCACAGTGTGGGGATGGGCTAAGGAGAGTCAAACTCTGTTATTTATTTCACCTCTAGTCTGGAGATATATAAGGACTGTTTATGGGTCTGTGTAAATATACATGTGAATTCTAAAATTACTGAGCAAGCACTTAGAAATGATTAATCACATCTTTGTACTGTTTGATGTTTGTTTAGGTCCCACGAATTATCCTGTGGCTGATGGTGGAGTTGGCCATCATTGGCTCAGATATGCAAGAAGTCATTGGCTCAGCCATTGCCATCAATCTCCTGTCTGTGGGAAGGTGAGGGAGTTTTCCTCTAGAAAGTAACCTATTATTTTTCTAGATTTCATAAAACCCAACTCATTTTCAATTTTTGCGATTTAGCCCAAGTATTATTTCTTCCCTGGAAACCTTTCTGGAACCACCTGTCTCTCCCCCAGCAGATATGGACTCTACATTTTCCATGTTCTCATTACAGTTTATATATGCACCTCTATTTTAGAGTAGGTGGCATTTTGTATTTGTTTATATGTCAGTTTATTCCACTGGATAGTGAGCTCCTTGAGGGTAAGACCCATACTTGTCATCTTTATGTCCAAATGCCTGATAGATAGTGAGCTTCCAACCAGAGTTTGAGTGAATATAATGAAATTGGTGCTGTGATTCTAAACTGATCCCAGATCTGGCTTCTTGACATTGCCCTCTCAGGCAAGTCCTAGCTTCCCAAGTCCTAGCTTCCCTGAGTGTTCTGTGTCTGGAAGGCTGTTGGGAAGAGAGAGTTTTCCAACAGTTCCCTTCTTTCCTTAATTTCCATTTCTTCTCTCTGACCTAGGGTTCCTCTGTGGGCTGGAGTTCTCATCACCATTGCAGACACTTTTGTATTTCTCTTTTTGGACAAATATGGTAAGGAAAATTGGGATAAAGGAATACCAAAGGTACCACCTTCTGTCTTTGTGGCTGATGGGAAATCTGCCCCTTGTAAGGGAGTCCCATTATGGGATTCACTGTTGCATTTTCTCTTATAGGCTTGCGAAAGCTAGAAGCATTTTTTGGGTTTCTCATCACTATTATGGCTCTCACATTTGGATATGAGGCAAGTGTTACAGGTTATTCATTTACTCTTTTTTTGGGTAGGGGGCATTTAAACTTTTATTGTGAATTGAGTGATAGTCTACATGACAGACCATCAGTTTTGCACTCAACCAATCACATCTTCTTTCATTGTAATGTTTCCAATCCCCTTTTTTGATGTACACCAAAAAAAGGAAAATATCATTGTTTAAACAACCAAAGGGGCACATTTTGCAAATCAGCCCCCTGCCTATCAGCACACAGCCTTTCTCTCTCCATGAGTCTAGAATCCTCAGATGCTCTATCTCTCCATGCCATTATCTCTGTCTCCAACTCTGATGTTACTGCTTCTCTGGTTGGGACACCCCACGTTATGCTCATGTTCTTCCTTTTTGCTGGTCCTAGGGGTCTTCTGTTCCTAGAATGTAAGATTAACTACACCCCCTTTTTGTTACACATCTTCTACCTTTACAGTTGTGAGAATTGCAATGAGTCATGGTAATAATCACTATTAAATCAAAAGAATCTTATCTACATCTCCTTTCACCTGACCTAGCTAGACAAGATGGAAACTGTTCAGTTGGGGTTCTCCCTTCCCTCATTTGCTCTGAAACTAAACTCCCTCCTGAAAACTTCTAAGCCAGCCACTTCATGCCTTTATAGCCCCATTTTAGGTAGCCAATATCTGAGTCCCCTATCAATCCTGTGTACTGAGGGGATATGCTTGATCCTTGATTTGAAGACTCCTTGCCTCTCAGTTGGTATTTTGTGCTACTACATCTGTAAGATAAGGTCAAGTTCATAAAATTGTACCAATTTACACTTGCTTCCTGTATCAAATTTCTTTGTTTTCCTGTAGTCAAGTTTTGATCATCAAGCCATCCAAGCTAGGTCAAATAGGTACTATCTGCAATTTTGACATTCTTGTTCACCTCCCCCCACTTCATATCAGCTGGACAGTTTATTCACAGCTCTAGCCCCTGCAGCTAGGTCAGTGTGCATGGGCTCAGTGGTTCTCAAGTCTCCCCAGACTTAAGACCAACCAGCCCTTCCTCTTCTCTCTCTCATCTCAAGATCGTTAAGAGTCTGTGGAATATGTTCCAACTCAGCCCAAGTCTTCCTTACTGTCTTTCCCCCACTTCCACTCACAAGTAGACCAACAGGGTCACAAGTGAGCTTACAAGCCTGTTCATGAGTTCCCTTTGAGTTTCAGTCTTAGAAGGGGATTTGTCCTGAAATGACTTACTTGCTTGCCTTGATGGCTCCCAAGTGAACAGCTTAGCTTGCTTGTTCTTGTAATAGCCAGACGGTGTGCTTTTTTTTCTTTTTTACCTGCTGGTCTTTCTTTCAAGAAGTATCTTCTGTTTCTCTAGCTGTTCCAGGTTGATCTGCATGTCCTTTTAAGTGGGACTGTCCCACTTCAGAAGGTTCTGATGGGGTTCAGGATTCCATCTAAGGCCCCATACTCTACAAAGGCTCTACAAGAAGCCTATTTCACTGAGCAAGTTCTAGAACTCCTTTTAGGTATTCCAATTCATTATAAGCTGAAGATGGACTTACAAGCTTTCTGTAATCATATTTCCTTCTTTAGTCTACACTCCTATGATTTCCTGATATTCATTTCTATCCCACTCAAGTGTCTGTTTTACATTAGGAGGCAGGGGAAACGAATATCCATAGTACACCTTAACATTATTTCCTCTCTTTTACCCACTCATTATTCATTTACTCTTTAAAGCAATTTTTACAGCTTTTTTTTTTAAAATAAAAACAGTATAATGCTAGTATAAAAAAAGTATACTAAAGAAAGTATAGTACTTTAATTGTATGATGTGTGTCAACAAAAATCTAGTTAGTCCACGATCAATTTGAAGGAATATGCATTATAACCAAGACCAATGTACAGAAAGTCTCCCAGGGATTTGTAGGAAAAAATAATTCATTTCTAGGTCTTTCCAGACAAGACTCTTTGGTTTCAAGTTGGCCGGTCTGACAACGAAATAGACAGGAGAAGGCTGAAAAGAGGGTTATAGTCATCTTCCTATTTATTCTTGGCTTTTAAGCTTGGGTAAGGGAGAGAGGAAAAGGGAGAAGAATAATTGTGTTCTTTGCTCATCCTGGTTTATAGTAACTTTAGTTTTAACTTTTCCTGTTTGGAGCAGTTGATGATGTTACACATAAGGAATATAGTGAAATTATCACACTTTGTGCCTCAACCCAGCATTCCTATGAATTAGTACCATTATATTGTAAAAGCACTCTCAGAGTTCGACTCCTATCAACTGATTCCAGCCTACTGGGCTGGCTAAACTTTAAAAAATATATCTAATCTATGAGTGAGTAGATTATCTCGCTTGATTTAAGTCTTCACCCCTGCAGGCCCCCTCTCCCTGCAAAAACAAACAAACAAAAATGAAACTATACCAGGGGAAACTTTGTATGAAAAGTGTTTCTGAGTCTTTTGCTTTATGCTGGTGTCAAACATAGTGATTTTTATATGTGCATAGGTGAATAGAGCATGAAAATATGGATAATCATGAATTGACTATTCTTGACTGGATCTGACAGGAGTTATTATGAAGCTGGTAGCGTAGTGGTTACAAGTTGGGCTGCTAACCTCAAGGTCAGCAGTTCAAAACTACCTAGTGGTTTCTCAGGAGAAGGATGAGGCTTTCTGCTCCCATAAAGATTTACAGCCTCAGAAACCCTTTACTGGGTTGCTATGGGTTGGAACCGACTCGACGGCACTTAACAACAACAAATAGGAGTAAGGTCTTTATCAAATACCTTACTTCCTAGTTGTTGTTGTTAAGTGCTGTCAAGTTGGTGGGTCCAACTCATAGCAAACCTGATGTGGTTTCTGAGGAGTGGCTGGTGAGATTGATCCACTGACCTTGCTGTTCAAACAGACCTTGCAATCCAGTGCATTAATCCACAGCACCACACCAGGACTCCTTAGAAAACTTATTCTATTCTATGTACATCTGTTTTGTGTATCTTAAATATGATATATCTGGGTGCCTCAGTCTTGATTATAACTCTCACCCCCAGTAATGAGCATCTTAGGTTACCTGGTTCATTGATGATTGTTTATTCCCTATGCTAAGTGGTGACTGAAAAAGAAGGGATTGTAAGAAGTAAAGGACGTTGAATGTTTCCTGATACTGCTATGTTATTATGTTTCCCAGTCTCATGTTTCAGTAAAGGCTAATAGTTCTTATGTTGGTGTATAGTATATTACAGTGAAACCCAGCCAGAGCCAGGTACTCAAGGGCTTGTTCGTGCCATCCTGTTCAGGCTGTAACATCTCACAGGTCATGCAGGCTGTGGGCATCGTGGGAGCTGTCATCATGCCACACAACATGTATCTGCATTCTGCCTTAGTCAAGGTGAGCAAAGTCCCTAACTCAGTGGCCTTATGGATAGTTTATGGGATCTTTTCCTAATTGCAAGAGATAAACTTTGTTTATAGCTGTTAGCGTCCTGAACAAGCAAGATTATTTTTCCAAGGCTGGTATGTTCATAAACCCCACATACTCGGACTCTGTTCTTATTACGAAGGTGATCAGAGGTTACTGACCCCTCAGAGAAACTGGGACTTAAGTTGAAAATGTCTGCAAGTATATTAAGACTCTTGTGTTTAAAATCTCAAAAACCAGAATGGTCTTGTGGAGGTTATAAGGAAAGAATCCAACTAGGCTTTCCCCGATCAGCTCTTTACAATTGTATTATTGTTGTTGAGTGTCATTGAGTTGGTTTTGACTTATAGCAATCCTCTATAGGGTTTTTGAGGAGCAGCTGGTGGGTTTGAACCACTGACTTTGAGTTTCAATCCCACCTCGGGGTCTGTTGCATTATCCTACAGCACCATACATTATTATTATTATTTTACAATAATTGTTGTTAAGTGCTGTTGAGTGGCTGGTGAGCTTGAACCAATAGCTTTGCTGTTCAAGCTGACTTTGCAGTCCAGCACATTAACCCACAGCACCATACCAGGACTCCTTTTTACAATTATTGTTGTTAAGTGCCGTTGAGTTGATTCCGACCCCTAGCTACCCTGTATAGGGTTTCTGAGGAGCAGCTGGTGAGCTTGAACTGCCGACCTTGCAGTTCAAATGGCTTTGCAGTTTGGCGCAGTAACCCACAGCACCACACCAGGACTCTTTTTTACAATTAGGGTTAATAAAACTTGTGAAGGCAGGAACCTATGTATGGTGAAAAACTGTCAGAGAAGGAAATCTCAAATATTTTCCACCAAAACAAGCAATAGAAAAGTAGTAACATTGCACCCTGTCAAAGGTAGAAAACTTGCAAGACCTTGAAAAATCAGGCAGTTCCATCAAGTACCAGCTTGCATTGGTTTCACTCCTATAGCCCATTGACTGTTTTTTTGTAGATGAGTGGTCGTGCAGCCACAACAACTGAAAGAACTCAGTAGTCAGTCACTGTTTCCTGCTTGGGGAATGAGCAGTGTCTCCAGGGGGTCATGTAACAAGGAACTAAGTGAATGTTGAATGTTGTTGTTAAGTGCCATCGAGTCAGTTCCGACCCATAGCGACCTTGTATAGGGTTTCTGAGGAGAAGCTGGTGAGCTTGAACTTCCATCCTTGCACTTCAAATGGCTTTGTAGTATGGCGCATTAACCTATAGCGCCACACCAGAACTCCAGATAAGTTGAATGTTGAATAGTTCACCTTTTTTCTGATCAGATGTTAAACTTCTAAATCGTTCACCTGACTCCGTGAAGTATTACAGGTTCCAACTGGTCAAAAATAATGACTGCTGCTGTTCTTTCCCTAGTCCAGACAGGTAAATCGGGCCAATAAACAGGAAGTTCGAGAAGCCAATAAGTACTTTTTCATTGAATCCTGCATTGCTCTCTTTGTTTCCTTCATCATCAACGTCTTTGTCGTCTCAGTCTTTGCTGAAGCATTTTTTGAGAGAACCAACGATCAGGTGGTGAGTAGACAGGGTTGTGGGTGGTAGTGAGTAGTGGAGAGAGTAAAGATTGGAGTGGGATAGGAAAATTTAAAAAGTGGCTTGGAGCTCAGGGAAATGGATATTAACACCACTCACCAAAATCTCTGTGGACCAGTCATGTTCTGGATGCTGGACCCACTTTCCTAGCTTTTTCTAGGAAGGGAACGTGCCTCAGACTCAGGATTGCCTCATGCTATTGTGCTAGTGACTCATCCTGTTTTGTTGCCCTCCTGTCTGACAGTCCAGCTATTTGTTGATAAGGACAGATTGGGAGGAGTAAACAAACAAAACAGAAACTGGCTAGGACAGACTTAGTTTTGTCATTTTAAATCTGGGTCCTCTTGATTCTTGATGGTCTAGTTTTTGTTTTGTTTTTACTTTTACTGTATTTCCTTTTCTTTATATATTGTGGTGAAAATATATACAACAAAACATATACCAATTCAGCAGTTTCTACATGTATAATGTCATGATACTGATACATTTTCAAAGTAGTACAGCTATTCTCACTGTCCTTTTCCAAATTATTCTACCATCATTAACAATAATTTACTGCCCCCAAAGCACACAAATTCCCCTTATCCCCTCTCTCCAACTCCTGATAACCAATAATAATTCATGGTTTTTATGTATTTGCTTAAAGAACCCTGGAGGCATAGTGATTAAAGCACTGAGCTGCTAACCAAAAGGTCAATGGTTTGAACCCACCAGGCAGTGTCTCTGCAAGAGAAACATGTGGCAGTCTGCATCTGTAAAGATGTACAACCTTGGCAACACTATGAGGCCGTTCTGCTATGTCTTATAAAGGTTCCTGTGAGTCATAATCGACTCAACAACATTGGACTGGATTTGGTTTTATCTCATATAAGTGAAACCATGAAGTTTTTGTCCTCTTGTGACTAATTTTGCTTAGCATAATGTTTTTAAGGTTCATCCATGTTGTGGCGTGTACCAGGACTATCTAGCTTTGACCATTACTTTGTTTCCCAGATCTAGGATGTCTGACTCACTGCTTTGATGAAGTGCCTCTATTCTGGGCTTTCTTTTATGTTTGAAGCCCTTTTTGTTTTCTTTTTTTTAGAATACAAATAAAAACTTTTTATATATTGTTGTTAAGTGCCGTCGAGTTGATTCTGACCCATAGCAACCCTATATAGGATTTCCAAGGAGTACCTGGTGAGTTTGAACCACCGACCTTGTGGTTCAGCCTGACCCTGCAGTCCAGCTCATTAGCCCACAGCACTTCACCAGGACTCCAATATTATATATTAGGCACATAGTAAGTACTCAATAAAAATTCCTAAGCCATCCTCAAAATAATATTTGGCCCTTCTTTAATGTTTGGCCCTTTCTGGTTTATGCAGTTGTGAAGAAGAGAGAGACTTATAGGACACTCTGTTTATGAACACTACTTTTCCTTTAAAAATCATTTTTAAGGATCTCTCCTTAAATGTTTAAAATGATCTATGTACATGTATGAGCATGTATAAGTAAATGCAGTAAGTATTTTTTATTGCATTAAGGGTATAGAAAGATTATGAAAGAAGTCCACAAGTGGTATTTCTGCCAGTTTCTGCTACATCACAATCTGTATCCAGCTTTTTATCTCCATTCTCTATGTCTTAGATAATATGTATGTGATCTGTTGGAGAGTTTTTCTTATTTGGTCTTTGCTTCTGAAGTAAAAGTTGCTCTTAAATTACTTTGGATTCTAGGTTCAAGTCTGTAAAAATAGCAGCTTTCCCATGTCTAATGACCTCTTCCCTGATGATAATTCAACACTGCTGGTGGACATTTACAAAGGGGTAAGCATGCTCTGATTTGTGATCTTTGCTTCTGACCCACATTCTTGGCTTATTATCTGGTCTTTTCTGTAGTTTCACTTCATATTTGAGCATAGTTCTGCTGGAATGCCATTTATTTCAGATGTCCAGATGCCAGACGAGCATTTTGGATTTCATGGATAGAATGGGGATTGAATGAAAAGATGAATGTACACCTGCACATCTCAGAATGGGGTTGATAAAATATTGTTTTTTGGGATATTAACTGAGGTGTCTCAAAGTATTCTTTCTTAGGCTTTCTGAGTCCCTTCATGTTGTAAGTTTGAACCCACCCAATGACTGAGAATGAAAAACTTGGAGAACTGCTTTGGTAAAGGTTACCACTAGGTGCTGTCAACTTGGTTCTGACTCATCACACACCTGTGTATAGCACAACAAATTACTGCCTGCTCCTACACCATCCTTACAGTAATTTTATGTGTTAGGTTTGAACCCATCGTTGTGGCCACTGTGTCATTCTATCTTGTTGAAGGTCTTTCTCTTTTTCTTTACCCTCTCTTCTACCAAGTGTGATGTCCTTCTCCAGAGACTAGTGTCTCCTGATGATATATATAAAATATATGAACCGAAGTCTCATCATTCTCGATTCTAAGGAGCAATCTCACTGTACTTCCAAGACAAATTTTTTTGTTCTTCTGATGCCACAGTGTATTCAATATTCTTCACCAACACCATAATTCAAATACATCAGTTCTTCGTTGGTCTTCCTTATTCATTGTTAAGCTTTCATGTGCATCTGAGGCAAGATCATAGCCTAGGACACTTATGGGAGAGTGCATCACATGAGGTCACAATTAGTCAAAAATTGATTCCACAGTGCCCAAAAACAAGTATTTCCCAACATTTAAAAAACTTTTTCTGTGCTTTTATTACCTTCTTTCAGAATGTAATTTGTAAAGTGCTGGCATGCATTTTCAAAAAAAAATTTTTGAGACATAGTTCAAAGATGAAAACAGAGGTTGGAGAAGAGAAATTACTAGACTGAGGAAGGAAGAGGTGCCTATCAAAATTGAGATTGAAAGTCTCTATCATGAGAGCCCTGGTGGCACTGTAGCTTAGGCATTAGACTGCTAACTGCAAATCCACCACCTTTAAAGGAGAAAGAAGCTGTTTCCTCCTGTGAAGAGTTACAAATTCAGAAACCCTGACACATAGTAACCCTACAGGACAAAGTAGAACTGCCCCATGGGATATCTGTGGCTATAAAATCTTTATGGAAGCTGACTGCCACATTTTTCTCACATGGAGCACTGGTGGGTTGAAACCAAGAGCCTCTTGTTTAACAGCCAAGTGCTTAACTATGTTACCACCAGGGCTCCAGAGTACTTGATGTGGTGATGGTGGTGGCGGTGTGCCATGGGGTCGGTTCCGACTCATAGAGACCCTGCATAGGGTTTTTGAGGCTGTAAATCTTTACAGACCTGAAAGCCTCATCTTTCTTCTGCTTAACACCTGGTAGTTTTTCTTAAGGTTAGAATTGCTGACTTTAAGGTTAGTAGCCCAATTCGTAACTACTGCACTGCCCGAGCTCCTCAGTACTTGATGTAGGAGGGTGCAAAATGAAGAAGAGAGAGCTGCCACAGAGAAATGCTTTTCAGGATGTTGTATAAGCAGATCATGAACAGAAACATTTATCTCTCCTGTTACTCCCAGGGTGTTGTGCTGGGATGCTACTTTGGGCCTGCTGCACTGTACATCTGGGCAGTGGGCATCCTGGCTGCTGGACAGAGCTCCACCATGACAGGAACCTATTCTGGCCAGTTTGTCATGGAGGTACGTGATGTTTCAACTGGTATGGGAGAAAACGTCATCCTTTTGTTCCTACTTCTTAATCCCAGCCTCCCCAAACCTTTTTCTGTTTCCTATTCCAGACAGTTATGTTTCGCCTATGTTTTCTTCCAGGGATTCCTGAACCTAAAATGGTCACGCTTTGCCCGTGTGATTTTTACCCGTTCTATTGCCATTATCCCTACTCTGCTTGTTGCTGTCTTCCAAGATGTGGAACACCTGACAGGAATGAACGACTTCCTGAATGTGCTGCAGAGCTTACAGGTGAGGAGGAAGCTGGGAGTAACTCATATCCCATTTACCCACATGTACAACCATTGATTACAAAGTCTACTTTGAAATTGAGAGCAAGAAGGAAGCACAATCTTTTTACTTTTCTACAGTCCTTAAAGTCAGGTAGGTTCATTTTTCTCTTTTCATATTTTTACTACAATGCATAATGATAATAATAGCATTTACACAGGAGCCATGTTAGACCGTGTCCCAAGCCCTTTATATACATTAATTCATGTCATACAACCAATCTATTGAAATAGATACTGTTCTTACTCTCTATTTATAGATGGGGAGACTAAAGCTCAGAGTGGTGAACCTTTTTTCTGAAAATCACAGAGATTGTAAATGGTAAAGCCAGGATCAGAACCAGAGCTGTCTGTTTCCAAAGTCTTCATTATTAAACTCTATTGTATAATATCTCAAAGATTACAGCCTAGGACACTCTGTGGGACAATTCTGTTTTATCACATGCTATTAGTCAAAAATTTAGACTTAAATTTAGAAACCACAATGTTTAGGGACCAATATTTTTCTCACAGTCTGTCCACATGGGGAAAGGAGACTAGCTTAAATGAGCACCAAGCAAGTTTACCTATATTTATGTATAAAAGCTTGCTTTCCTAACTTGTACTCTCATTCCTTTTTTAAAAAATCTTTTTACTGAAAACTGAGTTAAGGCCCACAGAGAAGATCATCAGTCCTACATTCAGCAGACCGTACACTTTCTTTAATCCCAAGGACCACAATTCCCTCCTTGCAACAACAGCCATCCCACCTCCCTCCCCCTGAGGTTCCCATCCCCATTCCACCCTTCTTTCCATCCCTTCTAACTTTGGCCTTAGGTAAATGTTGTCCTTTTGATCTTGAATGACCCCTCTGTTACAATACCTTCCGGTTCTTCCCTCTCCCCTCCCTCCAACTCCATTTTGTCTGTTTCCCCGCCCTAAGCTACAAGGGCATAGTTTAAAGGACAACGTGACTTTTGATAGGCTAGAGCTAAATCACCCCAGCAATGACCACTCCCTTCCTGTTGAATCTGTATAAATCCCCTCCCTTCCTGTTAATGCTCTCTTCTTCTTCTTCCTCTCCTCCCGTCCGCCTCGTGCCTTCTCTCTCCTGCAGAGGTTACCTTCCTCACCCTGAATAAAGGTCTCTAGATGGGCCATCTGGTGTGAGGTGTGGTTGATGAGTGGTGCCGGGTCCTTTCACCCTCCATGGTGAACAGACCCCACCAGGGTTGTTGTCTCCCCTATAGACCCATCTCCTGCTTGGCTGAAAATTGGGCCATGTGGGTGAGTTCCATTCCATACCTGAAAGGTGATTGAGGGCCATAGCTCCTCCAGCCTTCCTGATTAGCAAGCCTGGTCCTTTTTTTATAGTTTTGAGTCTTGTTCCACATTTTCTCCTGCTTTATCAGGGACCCTCCAATGCTATTCCTTTCAGAGCAGTTGGTAATGATAGCTGGACACCATCCATTTCCTCCAGTCTCAGAGTCATGGTGACTGATGTTCACTTGTTCCACTGGTCCATTGAACTTGTTGATTCCCAGCACCTTCAAACCTTTACCACTCTTCCCTCTTCTGTTCGTGGAGAGAACATTAGTTGCACCCTATGATGAACGCTCATGAGTCTTAAGATCCCATTCACTTCTCACCAAAGCGGGATGCAATACTGACCATGGTGTCCTCTGAGATTGTGGTCCTGAGCCCCAGGCCCAGAAACTCATTACCTTGATAATATCTAAGACATTTTCATCATTTTGCCCCCTGTCTGCTTCATTTCTAGGTGTGTCTGCAACAAAAGTAAATAAATACCCATGTACAAATACCTAACTTATGTATCTTTTCATGTCTCTATTCACAGAATACTGTTTTTCCAGGGTTGTGTATATAACAGTATTTACCTCTATCCCCTTTAACCCTTAATACCTCCCTATGTCTTCAACTATCTTTATCCTTCTGCCAGCCTCTGTCTTGTATATTGCCTACCCTGTTACCTGAGTTACCATATGTCTACCATCTAGCCAGAGGGTAGTCTTGTCTTCAGTAAATGTACATGAAAACCCAGCCATCTAAAAGGCTTTTAGAAATGGCTTGGCTTTTTAAACCCGATGAACGGTCATAATTAAATGTAGGAAACAAAATTATAGTTCATTAATCCAAGCTGATATTTATAAAGTGAACATAGAGAATATTAGTGCTAGGTACTATGGAGATTAAAGAAGACAAGGCAGATGCAAATACTTTTAAAGACCCCTTTAGTTAACAATAGGTCAGTGACAGCTGTACAGATGCTGACATCATACTGTAGCAGATTGGAATGAAAGGAGTGATTACTTTTCAGGAGTAAATGAAGCAAAGTCTGTGATTGCATTGGTCCAACAGTGCTGCTTTCTGGGGTAACAAGGCCCCCAGTGACTCACTCTGAGCTTCTCTCTTTTCCAGCTTCCCTTTGCTCTCATACCCATCCTCACATTTACAAGTTTGCGGCCGGTTATGAATGACTTTGCCAATGGAATGTGAGTATACTCTTCTCTCAGTCCCCAGAGCAGATACAGATATGTAGGGGATATAGTTGACAATATCGAGAACATACGTGTCTGACGTAGACCCAGTGCGTAGGCGCAGAGAGAGAAGGGCTGCTTGTGAACATATGGTTCCACTATCTGTTGCATTTTCTGATTGGCTGTTCTTCACCAAGCAGTCCAATCAGAGAAATGTGTCAGATAGTAGAGCTATATGTTTTGAGAGGTGATCACTGAAGCTGCTTCCTCATTCTTCAGCTTAGAAAATGGAGACTATGAATGTATTAATGGAGGGAAAGTACATTTTTCATTCTCATAAAACTTTTCAGCAGCATTAACTTTTCAACTTCTGTCACTGATGTTCAAAGCATTTTAATTGATCTTTATGTTAATTGATCTTAATGAGAACAGCCTTCTGCAGATCTGTCAGATCCTTACTTTTCACTTCTCGGTCACTTCTGTTCTGACAGCCACTGCACAAGCAGCCATTCTCCCTCTGCCCCTACCCACTGGGTCTAGGTCAGACTCGTAAGTTAAAGCACACAGTTCTCCACATTGTCAATTAGGCCCAAGAGTGCAGGTGTGTACTTTTGACTTGCTGGCATCCACTGTTACCTCAGGCTTGATAATTTGCTTGAGTGACTCACTGGATTCACAGAAAGCACTAGAGTTACAATGACAGTTTATTATAAAGAAGACAAAGCAGCAGCTGATAGGATAAGGTCTGGGAGAATTCCCAATGTGGAGGTTCCATGTCCCCATAAAGGGACATACTTATCTTCTAATGTGCATCATATCTTCACCAACCAGAAAGGCTATTGAACTTCTGTGCCCACAGCTTTCATTAGGTAATCAAACTCAGGCCCCTCCCTGCTAAGGTTGGTCGATACTACCAGGTGACTATGAGGTTGACATGGGACCTGACCAGCTTGCACTCAAGAATCACCATAGTAGCATAGTCTTTTAGCTGAGGTGTGCTCTGGAGCCCTCATCAAAGATGGGAAACCAGAGGTTATCTATGAGCAACCAAGGACAAAGACCAGATTTCTTTGGTAAATGTAAGACCCAAAAGCATGAAGCTAATACCTTTTATGTATATCCTTAATGTACTTTAAAAACAAAAAACAAAAACAAATTTCTCTCTGTCATGTGTAACTATGGCTCATTTAACCCATTGTGGGATATAGTAAGAACCAGTTTTGAAATGCCTGTCTTCTTTCCTAGACCCCTCACAAGATGCAGTTTCCTTTCCTGGTTGTGGCCAGGGTGAAGTCTTCTAAGTGACTGTCATGATTCTTTTACAGAGGCTGGAGAATTGCAGGCGGAATCTTGGTCCTTGTCGTCTGTTCAATCAACATGTACTTTGTAGTTGTTTATGTCCAGGGACTAGGACATATGGTATTGTATGTGGTGGCTGCTGTGCTCAGCGTGGCTTATCTGAGTTTTGTGTTCTACTTGGTAAGTCCAGTTTAGAGTGGATAGGGGCACAGTGACAGGGATGATGGAGCTGAGCTGCCACTCATAACTGAAGGAATCCAAAAGAATACATACAGCTTATTTTCCAAGTTATGAGACAGTTTACATGAAAATGTAAAGTCAGTTGTTTATAAAACAAGATTTCTATAAGTTATAAAATTTACCTTGGTTCCTAAAGTCTTGTTTTTCTATTTCTATCACTTATTTGATTTCCATTCTTAATCATTCTTAACAAGAGAGTATAGTATGTTTGAAAGAAGGGTAGCAGTGTAGAGAATGAAGGAGAAAGTGGAGTGCTATGAAAGGGCCCATGCACTGTGATTAAGCTTTGGGGTAAGACACATGTGACTCTGAAGTCCAGTTCTACCACTGGACTTTCCAATAAGGAAAGAAGTAAATATTCTCTCTGTGGATTATCCTATCGTCATTAAAAATGTGGCTGTATAAACCGTAGTTACATGGAAAATCAATTAATTAATTAATACACAGATTGTTGTTGTTAAGTACCGTCGAGTCGGTTCTGACTCATAGCGACCCAGTATAAGGGTTTCCAAGGAGTGGCTGGTAAGTTTGAACTGCTGACTTTGTGGTTCAATCCGATCTTGCAGTCCTCTGCCTGTCTTACAGTGCCAGATTATAAAAATAAAAATTTATTAAAGTATTGAGTAAAATTATGCAAAAATGGTACTAGTAATTGTTTTAGGGAGGTGGGATTATGGATATATTCTTTTCTCTATTTTCTGAAGTTTTAATTTTTTTTTTCTAAATTTTATTTATTCTTTCTTTTGGTTATTTTAATGAAAAGACTGCTTTAGAGCAATGAGTCCACCTCTATCTTATGCAAGTTTTTTTGAACAACACAATGATTGGGAATAAGAAACAACAGAATTTATGTGCTACAGAGAATAATACATCCTCCCCCCCTTAAGGATGAAGGCTGGCACTCAGCTGTCGATCTATAGAATATTTACCTAGTCCCCATGTTACACAACCACAGGTTAGGTACCCAATTGAGCAAATCACTGTAGTAGACGTTAAAAAATTATAACATTCGATGGATGTAGCCCTCTTTTCTCCACCCCAGTAAGCCTTCGGCACACTATCATTATGCTGATCTTATTGAGCTAGAGACTTCAAGGAAACCCACGTAACTGAATATGTAATATGTACTTGACAGGAGTTGTTTTTAAAATCTGCTATAAAAGTTAGGGGAATGCTTCCTTCATGAGAATTGACGGTGCCAATTTCTTCTCAGACTATCTGTAGCCAGTAAGATTGTTGAAGGCTCACATTTATGGGTGAGGGCTGATTTTAGAGATGGGTTACTGCTGATTAGGTCCAAATTAAGACTCTGATAAAACAGCTCAGGAGAACATTCCAGGTGTATTGTCACTCATTCCCCCTAATCTGGAACACCCTTAAAGGTGAGGAATGAGATAGGACTGGTCTTTTGGGAACTCCCAGCATGCTAAAAGAAACAAATCACAAATACAAAGAATTAGAATAGTCAGAACTTTAACAGTCTGTATTGAAATAGTTTGAAAAGGGTTGGTAGAGGAGAACCGGGGGGTTGAAGTTAGGAGAATGACTTGTGGTGGAAGATAGGCAAAGCTGGATGTTAAAGGAAGGGAACAAGTTTGCTTCTGAGCAGTGAGTATGAGCAGTCATTGTGGGCAAGGTGGGTGGGGGTGGTCTTCAAAGAGGCTGCATGAATAATGACCATATTTTATCTTTCAGAGTTGGCAATGTTTGATTGCATTGGGCCTGTCTTTTCTGGAGTGTGGGCGCACGGTAAGCATCTCTAAAGTCCTGCTGACAGAAGAAGCCACCAGTGACTATACTAAGTAAACAGTGACTGGATCAGTTGTCTGTCCTCCGCAGGGAGCCATCAGAGCCAGTGTGTTTCTATGGTTTACTGTGTGAACATAGCCAATAGTATGTGCTGTTGCACAGAGATCTCTTAAGATTCAACTGTTTGTTGAAAAAGATTTTACTTGATACATTTTCTTCCTCTCCTAACTTGGGAACTGGATTAGGTAGGATTGTTGAAAAGCTGACATTTGCTGCTTTTATTCCAACACTAAACTCTTAATTAGCTGCTCAAGGGTCACCTTGTTTTGTCCTTTAGAGATTTAATCCACTATGCATGATTCTTAACCAGACTGTATGTTAAAAAAAATCATATGTGGAAAATGCAATAAATTTTTCACAATGTAAACTATATTATGGGTATGTAAATGTTATGATGATGGACTTTAGAGACTTGAGAAATACTTTTGTATTGCATACCTTTTCACTAATTTTCATTGTAAAATAAGAAATTTTACTTTCATCTATTTTTAAGTATAAAATTAGGAGACCACTACCTCAATCAGGTTCAGCATTCCTGTAACTTTTTCCCACTTGAAATTTCTCAGTGGAAGTTCACAGAGGTGAGGATGAATAAAGAAGGTGGAAAATAGATAAATAGCAAAACTCACCTGTAAGTGGTGTTTACTGATTGCCTTCTGAAGATTTTCCTCAGAGAGTGAATGTGTAAAAGCATTTTCTTGGTAGTCCAAGTTTTAGTAAGCTTCATGTTATCATAGGGCTTTCCTGATGATATTTACTATCAGACACATACAATTGTAAAACCTTTACCACCTTCCTTCAGAAAGTAGTGACAGAAGAAGATGGTAGGAGTCATGAACTGATTCTCATGTGACTGGGGCATGGGAGGAGTGGGGAGAAAAGACTCAAAAGGAGAAGACCACTCATCTGTTTTATTCCTAAAGACCACCTCTCAGTAGAATCTTGTTTTTTTCTGAAACATCATCCTGCTTTTTGCCCAAGATGACTTGCAAGGCAATCCAGGAACTGTGGACCTAGTTGCAAACCTCTCTTTCTCAGCAAGGTTGAAGTGGCCTATCTCTCTTCAGCTTTTGCCTCAAAGGGAATAACTTTGAGACCAGATGGTGGAGCTCTGGAGTCAGAGGAAATGGGTGGTTTTAGAATGAAGCTGTAATTCTTGTTTCAGCCACTTCTGAGATTTTTACATGTGGAGCTTGAGACTGTGATTATATTAAGTCAGAACGTGTTTGTCTGGTGGAGATTATCAAGAATATTTTAGAGTTATTGACATGGTGAGAACATGGGAATGACACTGAGGAACTTCTTATTTTTGGAACTTTCCCTCTGAAGTACTGCTTGATTTGTGTTCTCTGTTTGAGCCCCCAAAAGCATTATAGCTGATATTTTGCACACAGTCAAAAGTGCAGACTGAACTTTTACACAAACTACAATAAAAAGTTTAAAGAAAAAAAATGCAGATTTGATGGGTTGTCTCCCACAACGGCAAACTACTGTGTTTCATTAGCCATGTGTTTATAGTAGCCTCTGAAATAATTATAGCATAGGATCATGAATGATGAGCCCTGTAATGTTCCTTCATATATGTACCCCTCCCCACCTACCATCATTCCTCAACCTTTTCATAAGGGAACTATGAATGTATTGAGGACTGATATTTTAAGCTCTCATCTGCAGTAGTTGAATGCTTGACAAAAAATTATTGTAAAGGTGGTAGAGGAACATTTACCTTTGCCCTTGACCTTGGTAGATCTAGTCATTTTCAGATTCACAAACATTTAGGAGCCCAAGTAAAACTTCTTCCCAAGGGTGCCCACTCTCAAGACTTCTAGTCAATACTGTATTAGAACTTCTAGCCAGAGTAATAAGAAAAGAAGAAACAAAGGTACCCATATAAGAAAAGAAATGAAATTCTCTTTGCAGCAATGATCCTATATAGAAAATCTACCAAAAAATTTCTAGAGCTATTAGAGGAGCTTAGCAAAGTTGCAGGGTACAAGGTCAAAAAAATCACTTTGGTTTCTATACAGCAGTGAGAAATCTGAAAGTGACATTAGGGGGAGGTAGTTCTGGGAAATTTTGACTTCCACATCAGAAAAATTAATCTCATGCCTCATGTCATACACAAAAACAAAAAGGACCTAAATGTGCAAACTAAAGCCATAAAATTAAAAGAAAATTCAGAGGCAACACTGTCAGGCCTAGATTTTAGCAGTGAATTATTAATGCAATAACAAAATATTAGAAAATTAATGTTAAAAATAAGTGAAAAGACAAACTACCAAATGGGAGAGTATCTTTTGTATACCATAATCCAACGGGAATCTACTAAGCAAAATGTATATAAATCTTTGACAACACCAGAGACAGATAACCCAGTCATAAAATGGGCAAAGGATTTGAATAGACATTTCACAAAAGAGAATATTCAGATGCCTAGCAAACAGGAAAAGACGCTTAGTAGCATTAGCTATCAGAGAGATGCAAATCAAAGCCACAGTGACGTATCATTTCACTCTCACTAGGATGACTAAAATTTAAAAAAATAACAGTGCCGATAAGAATATGGGGAAATTGGAACCCTTACCCATAGTTGGTAGGAATGCAAAAATAGTACAACCATTGTGGAAAACAGTGTGGTGGGTCCTCAAACTAAAAATAGAACTGCCATATGACCCAGCAATTCTGTTCCTCGGTATATATACAAAGACTTGAACACAGAGACTTGTACACCCATGTTTGTTGCAACAATGTTCACAATAACCGAAAGGTGCAAACAACCTAAATGTCCACCAGCAAATGTATGGCTAGACAAAATATGGTACATCCATGCAATGGAATCCTACTCAACCAGTAGGTGAAATGAAGTTTTGATGCATGCTACAGTATAGTTGGAGCTTGAAGATATTGAGAGAAATGAGCCATACACAAAAGGATAAATACTGTATGATCTCATAAAAAGATAAGAAAAGGCAAATGTATAGAAATTGAAGTATATTAGTAGTTAACCAGGGGCAGGAGGGAGCGGAAGTAAGGGTGTTATCAATGATGGAAACAAATCACTGTAAAGGTAGACTTGCACAGCTGATAATTTTAATTGCTGTCAATAAGTTGTACGTCTGTAAAAAGTTGAATCGGTAAATGTGATACATTACAACAACCACAAAACAAAAAAAAACCAGTAGTTGCTGAGACTGCTTATGTAAAACCAAACACCTCATAGGATTTGGGTCCTTGGTTTGGGGGTTTAGGGTCATGTTTTCATAAGACATCCCAGTTGATTCTAATAAAAAGTTTGGTGCTTCTCTTCTACCTCCTATTGCATAGTACCTGGGGTTTTAAAAGCAGTCAACCAAGGCAAAACAGTTGGTTTCTATTCTGGATCAACAGAGGAAAGAGGAATAAAAGGAGAATATGGAATGGACTCCTGGTGTGGCACTATAAAATCAGAACTGGATTGCCAACCACAAGGTCAGCAGTTCAAACCCACCAGCTGCTCCTTGGACACCCTATACGGGGTCATTATGAGTTGAAACTGACTCAACCACACTTAACAAACAAATGGAATGTGTAGCTAATCGCTTCATGAACAACTGCTTCCTTTGCCATGAGGCCAGAACTGGATGGTAGCATTACTGAACATTTTGATCAATGATTCCATAGAAGAATCCTAATCAAAAAGGGGAAGATGCAGAACAGAATTTCACTCTAGATTTTCTGGAGCTGTGTAGGGTAGATAAATCCCTGGAACTATTGCCCTGAAATCATCTTTAAACCTTAAACCAAAAATATACCCTGAAGTAATCTTAAAACCAAACAATAGTTTAGCTTAACTAATAAAGAATTTCTACCTTGAGCATTATGTTTTTTTGAGAACTATTTATATGGAATCAAACTGGCAACAGCAACTTGAAAGATCAGAAGGAATCTTAAGAGGACTGTTAGTTTATGTTACTGAGGGAGGGACAACTCAGAAAAGGAGCGTGAGAATGGTTGTGCAACTTGAAGAATGTACTCCGTGTCACTAAATGGTACATCTAGAAACTATTGGATTGGTGTGTTTTGCTGTGTATATTTTCAATAATAAATAAAATTTAGAAAAAGCAAGACAAAACACTCCCATACATTTTTCTGTGTGGTCCTTACATAGAAAAAGTCTACTTCATCTAATAATCTGGGTGTAGTGACCACTATTTAGAACTGAAGTCTGCCAGTGCTGGCATGTGCAGTACATTGTTGGCAGTGTGTGTGTACTATCATAGGATATACGATTGCACTTTGCAAAGTCATCCTTGTTCTTCAGTGTGACATGAAATAACTGTAGCCATACTGGGAATTAACAGGGATAAAGAAGAGCTCCAGTTTGGCTCCTGTGAGGTGTCCTGCCAGTGGTGTTAAGGAGTATTTACAACTGAGCTTTGTAGTGCCATATAACCAGATGTAAACTTAGTTTATAATTAAAAAAAGATTTTTTTTTTCCAATTTGGTTTCCTGGATATTTCTTCAGCTACCACTGAGAATAGCATGGCATAAACCCATACTGCTAGTGATCATCTTCTTAGGAAAAATAAATGAGTTTGGTCCTTAAAACATGGATTAATTGCAGACGCCAAGACTTTTCTATTTATCTAGTCAGTAAACCTCTGTCATTGTTAGTGGCATTGAATTGGTTCTGACTCATAGCCACTCTGTATAGGGTTTCCAAGGAGCGGCTGGTGAGTTTGAACCACCAACCTTGTGATTCAAACTGACCTTTCGGTCCAGTGCTTTATCCTACAACACTACACCAGGACTCCCCACCACAAAAAACCCCCACTACTGTTGGATTAATTCCAACTCATAGCAACCCTATAGGATGGGTAGAGCTGCCCCCCTAGAGTTTCTGAGGCTATAAATCTTTCTGGAAGCAGACTGCCATATCTTTTTCCTACAGAATGACTGGTTGGTTTGAACAGCTGACCTTGCAGTTAGCAGTCAAGATCTTAATAACTGCACCACCATGACTCCTACTGAGTGTTCCTAAATGTCACACCATTATCATGTTTAAACTTAGTGTTGTTGTTTTCTGACTTTCTCTACTGTAAGCAGAACATTTTTCTAAATGTAGGCTTTGTTTCACCACAGAAATAGGTTTTTAAGTTCTGTATTGTTGTGAAGTGTCTTCGAGTCAGTTCCAACCCATAGCGACCCTTGTATAGGGTTTCCAAGGAGCGGCTGGTGAGCTTGAACCGCCGACCTTACAGTTCAAAGCAACTTTGCAGTCTGGTGCATTAACCCACAGCACCATACCAGGACTCCATATTTTGTATCTACAACCAATAAAAAAATCAGTGTTTAAAAACAGAAGCGAAAATTGTTTAACTTAAAAAGGAAAAAGCATTTTGGCAGATCTGATATAAATGGGAATGTCGGCAACATTTTTAATAACAACAGCTCAGGTACAGTGAACCTACTAACTCTTGTCATCAGAAGCATGGCAGAGAAATCTAAATCATCAGCACTTGCTTTGTCCCAGCAGTGTCACTAGAGCTTCATTTTCCCTTTCTCTTGCAAGCTTTCTCTGCCTGTATTACAGGAGCTGTATACTGTAAGTAACACCACAGAAATAAGCTGGGAAGTAAGACTTTTGTTCTCTTTGTTGTCCTCATTTAACTCTCCCTTTTAAGTTTGGGTTTTCTTCACTAAAATAGGGTGCAGAAATAATTTGAATATCTTGACTTGAGACATGTCCTGTAGCTCTGCCAGCTATGCCTTCTGCTTCTGGACAAGTGAACGTGTCATCATCTTGACATTTTAGCTTTTGGGCTAACATTTAGCCCAAAAAACCAGTCCTGGTCTGAGCACTAGTATTATCTCAGGTAATCCTTATAACAAGAGGGTCAGGTTTCTATATAAATGGGGCAGCTGAAGGCCAAAAAGTAAAATAACTTGCCCAAGGTGACATCACTAGTAAACGGAAAATTGGCATTTGAACTTTCTTAATTCCAGAGTTTACATTTCCAATCCCAAACCACCCTATTAACATGCCATGCTCTCTTCATGCTGAGTTCAGATACCAAGCTTTGTTACTTAGCAGATAGCTGTAAGTATTCTAAACAAAAATAACAACACATGAAAGAATTTTCCTGATAAACTCTGATGAGTGTTGTTGTTATGTGCCGTGGAGTCGATTCCGACTCAGCGACCCTGCACAGGGTTTCCGAGGCTGTAAATCTTTACGGGAGCAGAAAGCCTCATCTTTCGCCCGCGGAACAGCTGGTAGTTTCGAACTGCTGACCTTGCAGTTCGCAGCCCGATTCGTAACCACTACGCTACAGTGCTGTCAAGTTGGTTCTGACCCATAGCGACCCTGTAGAGGGTTTCTGAGGAGTGGTGATGAGCTTGAACTACTGACCTTGCAGTTCAAACCAACTTTGCAGTCCAGCTCATTAACCCACAGTATCACACCAGGACTCCTATAATATATGAGGAGATTCAAAAGTTTATGGAAAAATAGAACTAAAAGATAATGGCATTTTCCCATGAGCTTTTTGATGTCCCCTTGTGTTTTAGCTCAGACTGGTAGACTAATTGTGTTTGGCCTATGCTAAATTAAAGAATAAAAAATGTTAATGCTTTTGGCAGAGTTAGAGAAAGGTAAGAATGAATAAGTTTATTCATTTGCATTACATGTATGCCCTTGAGAGTATTTTAGCTTTCTAATCCTATGCCATTTAACCCATTTCTCAATGTCTCAGAGCAACATGACTAATTTCTCCAATGAGGGAGTTCTGCCATCTAAGTCATCTAAATGATTTGCTCTGTGGAGCTCCTGGGACTAATAATATAACCCTTGCTTACTATATAATGGAGAAAGTCCATCTACCTAACTCACTTGGGGGAAAGCTACAATGAATTGTCAGTATACCTGACAATTCTGTTAGTTACTGAAGACTAAAGTATAAAATCCTAAAGTGAGTAAGCCAGCTGAAGTTTGAAGATACAAGTTGAAGTCTGAATTGTTAAGTGTGACTCTGTTTTCCTAGCCCACTACTTAGGAATAGTTTCTTTTTTTAAAAATCTTGGGCTCTATTTAGTATACATTATCCTCATGTAATGGAATCCTGGTGTGGCACTGTAGGATCAGCATGGGACTGCCAACTACAAGGTCAGCAGTTCAAACCCACCGGCTGCACTATGAGTCAGAAAAAAACAGCCCTTGCATAATGGAGTCCTGGTGTGAACTTAAGGTTCAAACCTCAAGGTTGATTTGAATCCCAAGTTCTCAAGGTTGGCAGTCCAAACTCACCTGCCACTCCTCAGAAACCCTATATAGGGTCGCTATGAGTCAGAACTGACTCGACAGCACTTAACAACAACAGTAATAGCAACCCTCACATAATCATCACAACAAAAATGTTTGGTAGACAGGGTAAATTGTGATGTGTTTAAAATGTATACTTACTGGAGATTAAAATGAGATAATGTGTTAGGTAGGGTACTTGACATTCTCAAATATGGCATTTATGGTTCTCATTTTACAAATAAGTAAAAGAAGTTTCCAAAAGATTGCATGACTTGCTCTAGGTCATAGGAAGTGGTAGAATTAGAACTTGAACACAGATTTTCTAATTCTGGTGCCTCTGTAATAAGAACAATCCCTTCTTACAGAATATAGCCTGCATTCTTTACTAACTGATAGGCTGTCAGTGTGCAGGAGCAACAACATTCCTGTAATGCTAAATAGTAACAGTAGGGTTAAAATGAGAGTCTGTGATTGTTCCAATCTTTGTGTATATGCAGAGGAGAGAAAAAGAAGTATGGAGAAGTGCAGTTTCACAGATCCCAACACGAATCAGTAGTGGGGATTGGATGTTTTTGAAAGCAGCCAAGGAGATTCTGATTCAAACGGACAAACATTTGGAACCCATAGCTCATCTTTCTGTAGACAAATAAATCAGTTGCATTTGGTTTGATTGTAACTCATGGTGTGTGTCAGAGTAGAACTGCTCCATGGGGTTTTAAGTGGCTGCTTTTTCTGAGGCATCTCTAGGAGGATTCCAACCATTAACCTTTTGGTTAACAGCCAAGCAAGTTAACTGCACCCAAGAACGCCAATATACACAGTACTGAGAAAAGCACAATACCTGCTTATTCTTACTATGATCCTGTATCAAGAGTATGTCACATGAATATTTAAAATGCTGATTTTACTGAGGGCGTTGGAGACTAGCTCAATCCTTAACTCTTTCAACTTCTAGCTGTTGTTTTGCATATCAGGAATCATCCATGTGTCTGTAGGCCGATTTTTTTTTTCCCCTGTGTGTGTGTGTGTGTGGAATATATATATGTATATATGTATCTTGGTGTAGTGGTGGTGTGCCGTGGAGTCGGTTCTGACTCATAGTGACCCTGTATAGAGTTTCCGAGGCTGTAAATCTTTATGGGAGCAGAAAGCCTCATCTTTCTCCCATGGAACAGCTGGTAGTTTTGAACTGCTGACCTTGAGGTTAGCAGATCAATTTGTAACCACTACGCTACCAGAGCTCCTTAGAGCTCCTTATAGTGTACTGAAAAAAATAAGGGCCTAAATTGATTGACTGATTATAGGTGTTGAAACAATTAAAAATTGGTCTAATCACTCTTTTTGTCTTTTTGTTCTTAGTACCATCTGGGATTGACAGCTCAGCCTGAACTCTACCTTCTGAACTCTGTGGATGCGGACTCACTTGTATCTAGATGACTAACAGCCTGACAGACTATACAAATTCTTTAAACCCTTTAGTGCCAAGTATCCTGTTACATACATATCTTTGTTAGTTCAGAGGTGAGTTTTGTTCAAACATTTTGAACAAAAGATACAGATTTCCTCTTGGAAAGGTGTTAAAGCTGGTACTTAGAAGTGGGTCAAAAAACCATCTGTCTTATAACAGCTAGAGTTAAATGATTGGCCTATGATGGCCACACACACCCCTATGGGCTGTGTCTTGACTTGTGTAATTCAAGAATATATATATATATGTATTTAGGATTCCTGGCGTGGTGCTGTGGATCAGCACTGGACTGCAAATGACAAGGTCAGCAGTTTAAGTCTACCACCTACTCCTTGGAAACCCTATACAGGGTCGCTATGAGTTGGAACTGACTGAACGGCACTTAGCAACAACAAAATACGTATTTATGTAAACCTGAACATAAAAGTTTGGGTAGCTAGTTTTAAGGTTATATAAAATTGATAAACCTTTTGTATTTTTTAAAATATAGTTCAGATAAGCAGGTGTTTATTTTGTTTGGATCACAAGTAAGAAAAATGACTGATGGCTCTTTTTTAAAAAATGAACTGATCAAATTAACTACCTTTTAATGTGATGCTTTACTATGGTAATTGAAGTTTACCTCAGTTTTAAGCAACTAGATCACATCCTTGGTATCTGTGATACTAGCACATTCTTTTTAAAGAAAATATGTCTCTTATTCAACATTCATATTTAACCATGATTATTAGTCGTGGTTAAATAAATTTTATTCTCTGTTGTAGCTTTTCTTGAATTTTTTTTTATCATTGAACAAAGACATCATGGTATTTGTCAAAGTGCTTAATATCTAGTAACAAGTAAGATCCCAAAACCTTATTTTAACCAAGAATCAAATTTCCATGTTGTAACTCAGCCCATTCTGGTATTCAGATTTTAGATATAAAATAAAACATCTCACATTTAATTTTGAAATGACCAACATAATAATGGAGGTAGTCTTCTTTATAATGTTCAGATAGTCCTACCATGTGTTTGTTCCCATTTTTCCCATTAACACTCCAAACACCATTTCTAGGTCCAAAGCCTATTTCCAGGAATGGCCAATATTTATATTGTTGAATTTCCTAAGGAGATGCTAACCATTTCATTTAAGACATTTATACCAAGTAGTATTAGATTAAATAAAGATGGAATGAGAAGATTACATGTTACAAACTGCTTACCTACATGTAGGTTATAGGTTATTTTTGTTTTTTTGATCCTCATACCCAGGACTTTTTTTCCTTAAAATTTACATAGTAAAAAATTCAATATTTAAAAATAGAAAGTTCTCTCATAATTATCTTATTGAAAAATGAGAAGATATGTCAACACTGGGCCCACATTCCTGAGTGGAAATGCAGATATCTGGAACTAAATAGCCTCTTCCCCAGTGGCACAAACCCCATCTCCACATTTCCTTCCAGCCCCAAAGATGTGGTGGCTGCAGACCCTGAAAACGTGATTTTGAGCAAATCACTCCTCTTTCAGCATAAAACTTGAGTATCTATACTCTCCATCGTATTTGAAAACTTTTAGCCTTTCCGTAGGATGTATTTTAAGGTGCTTTTTGTTTGTTTTTAAAATTCTGACACTGCCTATTTTTGTTTATAATGGCTTGGCTCTCTTAGTGACAAATATTTTTTTTAAATTATACTTGAAAATTCATGATGTCTACTTCAGGGGCCTGTGAAACTCCTGATAATAAAAACAGCCCTGAAAGCCAGGCTAAAAGGCCTTCTGAGTTTAAAATTGAGACTGAGTTAACATCACTTACAAGCTTTTTGAATAAACTTCAGTGTTTTGGTTTCTTTTTACTCAAGTTAATTGTAAATGAACCAATTTCTTGGATTTCCAGTCCCCATTTCCCCACAACCTCACTCCCCCACCAAACAAAAGCATAAACCCATTGCCATGGAGTCAATTGTGAAACTCTGTCTTCTTGGAACAGACAGCTTCAGCTTTCTCCTGTGGAGCAGCTGGTGGGTTTGACCACCCATATTGAGGTTAGCAGTGCAGTGCTTATCCCACAGCACCACCAGGGTTCTTTACCTTGCCCTCCCAACCTGGGCAATTTCATTTCTTGATGCTTCTAAGAATGTTTGGGAATAGGAAGAAAAGGCATAAATAAAATGTACCTTGATGTCCTTTTTTGTAACTCAAATCAAGTGAGGTGCTTGATTAAACCAAGGTTTTTATGTGTTTTCTATGGCTTGTCTCCATTCTAGGAACAAACTAGTGTTTAGTGTTTACAAGTATACCTCTTATTTGATAATAAAACTTGAATCACACTAAAACCAGTAGGGGAAATTGAAGTCTGAGTCTAGAGTATATTTTTGTTTAAAATCTTTAACCATTTTCTAATTTATTGTTTATAAACCTGGATTTCTATACCAAGTATGTTTAAGATAGATATCAATGTATTTTTTAGATTAACCTACATTGCATATACTCATTTATTGAGGCTTTACACTATGGGGTCAATATGTAATAGGATGTTCTGACAATGTAGACACAGAATGTCAGATAAATACAGTTAAATAATTGGTTATTGAGCAGTTGCTGATACATGACCGTGTGGGGAATGAATGAAAGGCAGTTAGAGCATATCTAGGCACATGAAGTAGTTTAATTAGCAAGTGAGGCATCTGGGGTTACAGTAGCCAATGAAAATAGTCTTCACAGTTTCAAGCATTATACTATTAAGCCCCTAAAGCTTTGTCCAGGAGTCCTGGTGTGGCATTGTGGGTTAATGTGCTCAACTGCAAAGTCCATTTGAACTGCAAGGTCAGCAGTTCAACCTCACAGCCACTCCTTGGAAACACTATACAGGGTCGCTATGGGTTGGCACCCACTTGACAGGCACTTAACAACACAACAACAAAACTTTGTCCAGGAAATATTTTGCATATTTAAGTATTGAGTGTTATCTGTTTCTAGGGACTTCCTGCAATGACCCTCCCTCTACCTAGCTAAAGTGGGTAAATGAGCATCCTTCACACTTCCTAACTCTTCTCCAAATGTGATTTGACATCTTAATTTAAACATAAATTGTGAGGTCTCATGTAAAGTTACCCTCAGTAAGATCAGAATATTCTGGAACCAATATGCCTCTGTGAGTTGGGCCAGTTTCTAATAAACACTTCTGTTAATATATTTTTAATGAGAGTGTACATTGAGGTAGGAACCTTTCCAGTAGCCTGTGTAGAAATATCTTTTAATTGCAGAATCAATTTGAAGACATGACTATGTCTGTGCCAGCTGTTCTTAACTTCCCTGACTGTCATGGAACATAGTACATCCAGCTGCTGGAATTTTACTGTAATGGAATAAAGCAGTTGGATTCTTTTCTTGTTTATTTTCCGAGGACAGTGTTGATCCAATCATGACAGGCACAGATGGCAGCATCTTAGTTGCTAATGCTAATGGATACAAGTTTATGTAACGCCCAGTACAACCCAATAATTAATACCTAGAATTCAGACATCATTGTTATTTTCAAGTACTTCTAAGTCTTTCCCTTCCCCAGCTACTGAACTTCCTCTGCCTGTCAGCTGGGAAATACAGAGGAAAACACCACAGATAATCTTACAATGCAGGGAAACAACTGTTTGGTTTTCTTTCCTAGGGTTGGAGTCTTAGGGAATAAGCCTGAGTCAAGACAGTTATGACTTCAACAAAGTTTAGGACAGTTATGGAGACATATGAAGCCACAGATATACTTAATATTTAACATCTACTTTGAACAATGTTCTACCAGATTACTCACAGTTCTTCTAGACTAGATTCTTTCACCTCACAACAATATTGTCATCTGGGGGAAATGGGAGTTGTAGCATTTTGCCTTTGTACTCCAGAAATCTTCAAGAAGTATAAATCCATAGACATTTAATTTTTAAACAGTTATCTTTGTGGTAATAGTCAAGTTTCCATAAAAGAGTGAGAAGTAGAGTGGCGAACCAACTATAAATAACAACATGACTATTCTTCTCTGATACAATTGTTGATTATTCTAAAAACAAATTTATGAAAGGCTTCTTCCTGTTTGGGAAGATTTAAGCAGATGGAGTGTTAAGAATGGAGTGTTGCATTTAACATGAATATAGAAATTTCTGTAACTACTATGTCATTAACCAATTTGCAGTTGATTTAGCATAATATAGATTATTTTCTTCCATTGTCCAGAAAATAATGTTAAACTCTTAATGTTAGAAAATTATGTCCAGGTTTTGAAAATGTCAATGATGGATCTTTATGAGTTGATTATTTATGATTGTTAATTTAGAAATTAGCTTTTTAAAACTTTGAGACACAATAAACCAAAGCTATGAGAATTGTCTTATATTTTTGCAGTATAATTTGCTACATATGAAAAATTCAGTCTTCCTAATAAATAGTTTTCAGAAGCCTTTCTTGAGCACAGCCAGTAGCTTTATTTTTTGAAGAATCGTGGTCTAATGTAATCCTTGTACATCGAATAAAGAACACCTAGAAATATAAAGATGAATACCAATTAATAGCATATCTATGGGAAACAAATACTCAGGTCCTCCCACTTGTAATTTTCAGATATTAACCCACAATTTTTAAACATACAAAAACCTACCTTATTAATTTTTGGCACGGATATACAAGTGGCCCCAGAAAAAGCAAAACTAAGAGTCCTTTAAGATCTGTATGAATCTGAATTTATCATGTTACTATGTTACCCTAAGCTTTTACTTAACACACCTTTTATTAGAACAGTGAGGAACAAATTTGTGCTGCAATTGTTATTTAATATAAGTCAGATTTGACAGTGGGAACTGCCCTAATTGAATAAAGACACCTAACTACAGTGGCCAATACTTGTCTGTCAGTTTGTTGTGCTGTGGTGGTTTGTGAGTTGCTGTGATTCTGGAAGCTATGCCACCAGTATTGTAAATAACAGCAGGGTCACGCACGATGG